AGATCTACCGAACTTGTATCGCGTTGGAAACAATTACAAGTACAGGAAAAGTCGTTCACAAGCGAGACGTTTATTAGTTCTCAGGACTGCTTTTTGAATAGCAAAGATGGAAAAAACGTGTGGCTTAAGTGGTTTGGTACGACTGTCTGAATGCTGATCATGAACTGATCAGAACAAAGACACACCAAACTGCACAAGTGCTTAAGTGCTAGGTCAAACATGGAACTGTCTTCGGTAATTATGTTTAGCAGCTAAGTCTTTAATTCAGCTTTTTAATTTTAACGTAGATTCTTTACAAATCTTTTCGCGATTTACATTCTCAGCTGTTAAAAGTAGAATTCCGTTCTTAAGAAGTTTGATGTCGAGGTTTATTGAAATTATTCTTGAATCTTGTCTGGAATATTTGTCGAAACATGTTCTGTTGAAGTTATAAGCTGTTTCCTTTTTTTCTTGTTTAGTGCAAACCGAGGAGAGAGAGACAATTGTTACTCTACAGATAGCAACACTTTTTAAAAAAATCATAGGAAACTGCTGGAAAGACGTTGGAGCATTTCTTGGGGTTCCTGAGGACGAACTTGATAGTATAGACAAGAGTACCGTAATTTCCGGTCGATTACCCGCACGGCCGATTACCCGCACCGGCCGATTATTGCATACGGCGAAAAAAAAAGTCAACGGATTACCCGCACCGGTGGATAACCCGCACGTTGTTATTCAACTTTTTCGGTGGCGAAAACGTGACATTAAGGCGATACATTTCAGTCTTTCGATTCAGACATGTGCACAATTCTGTGTCAATATTAGCTTATACTTTATTGATAAAATTATACAGTGAAAATTGAACAGTAAAATTATACAGGGCGAGTGTTAAAAACTTGAATGATAAAGTAAGTTCAGTTCAAAATCCATTAAAATCTTCATCCTCAGTGTCACTATTAAATAAGTCCATTAACTGCGCATCGAGTACAGGATCCAGAATTGCGGTAGATGTTATTTGTTCATCGTCACTGATGTCGGATGTCTGAGATGCATCATCGTCGGTGCCACTTGCAATTCCTGCTTTTCTAAAACCATTCTTGATGGATGAAACTTTTACAGCCTTTACATTAGTTAAGTTTCGCACCTATTATTTTCAACATTCTGGTGATGCATTTGGGATTTAAAATTACTGTCGGCAATTTCTCAAAAAAATCGATATCTCCTGTTCTACTGGGCCTAACAAGTCCCTTAAAACGGGAAAATTCTCTTTAGCTCAAGCTAGTGAAAACTGGAAATTTGTTACTGATGCGCCGGATATCCTTGGATTATTTTTGTCACCATCAAGGTTTTGTTTTCACGCGTGCCGATAAAAATTTGTTTGTCACGCAACTAATTATGCGTGAAATAAACTCGAGTTGGCATCATGTTTTCGTGCCGCTTTGTGGCACTTTTGATACAATAAAATTCATTTGAGAGGTGGAAACGCAGGTAGGTGAGAAATTTTTTCAATTCAACTTCCAGAAGAATTTAAAATTGTCACATAACCCGCACCTCCCTATTACCCGCAGTGGCGCGGATTTAATGCAAAATCAACAGATTACCCGCGGGTAATCGACCGGAAATTACGGTAACAAAAGCGATCAAGAAAAGGCAGGTGCTATGCTCAAATTATGGAGGGATAGGGAAGGACACCGCGCAACCGTGGGACGTCTTGAGACCGCCCTTAATCAAATCGAACAGCAAAGGATCGCAGACACGTTGTTAGGTATTTAAATCAGAATGTTTTTTAAAAATCATTCATCTCGATTGATTATAATCCAGAGTATTTACTGATGAGGTCTTCAAATCTACTCTGATGCAACTTCAGGTGGTCACGGTGTTTTTAGTTGCTGTCAGAACCTGCAATTTGCATTTGCAGTATTAATTCACATTATCTAAATTCTCTCATCATTGATTTTCTTCGTTTCTGGAATAGACATTGCTCGAGAGGAAAAACTTAGAGAAGGCGAGGAGGCAGAAGAGCATCAAGAAACATGCAGCAGCCCGTTGGAAGGTATGACCAACATTTACAGAGATTTTTCCTTTACACTCTCTGGAGAATTACTGAATGCATGAATATTGATGCATAAAACATTTCAAGTGTCTCTCGCTTTCTATATGATCTTGTCTGAATTCTTTAAAAGTTCTAAGTTGTAATGTATCCCCAGGTGACTCAGGCAGTTATAAAAAGTCTTCTTATAGTGTTCCAGGGCATCGGAAAGTATAAGAGTAATCACCTTTACTGATTCACTGTTTGAGATGCACTTTATCTTGTGTTTCAATACATTTTAATTTTTTGATCGGCGCCATTTCTTTTCTGATTACCGTTTAATAAGTTAAGCTGCATGGCGATCGGGGCCAGAATTTCTTCTCCCCTATTCAGAAGCTCAATTTCAGGCTTGTAGAGGTCCTTGTTGTGATCAAATTAAATTATCAAATCTTACTTGGGATTTACAAATCAGCCAGACATGTTTTTATCATGGTTTGTTTTGAATTCTTTACTTCACTCTCACCAAAAACTCTCAGTGAGTAACCAACTGTGTCGTATATTCACATTGAAACAGGAAGTGAAAAAAGGAAATTGGATGAGTTAAGAGAAAGTCTCAGAAAAGTTAAGGAGATGAATCAAACCGTGACGAGGCTTAAATCTGGAGTAGGTGAGTTTCAGTTCTGAGTGTGCTTAACCTTTTAACCCCTGAGGGTGACTAGCTTCTAATTTCTCCTTACAATATCACCCTTGAATCACACATTAAGGTCATGAGAATAAAGGAAACTGATCACCAACAAACGAAGCTCCTGATTGTTAAACAAATTCTTCTTGTTAGCACCTTAGGAAATGTATAGAGATAGTAAAGATAAAATGTACAATGATGATAGGGTGTAAAGGGTTTAAAACCATGCAATCGTTACGATTCTTCTTCAATAGACTATTGACATGCTGATTCTTTATAGGCTCTGCACTGTCAATCGCCGATGTTCTGTAAAATTCGAGCATTTGCCGGACACATCATCAACTCGATCTACCTAGTTTTTTTTTCAGTTAAAGTCTTGCCATCATGAGTCGTATATGGTCAACTTACAAAGTTGCAATTTTTGACATTATTTGATGGTACAAACCGCTCGTTGATTGGGTTTAAGAGTATACTGTGCTGCTTAGAGTATGTCAGGGATACAATAAGGTTTCTGTTGAGTTGAGTGTTTTCCAGCCTATTGTATCTTTTTTTGTTTTCGATCAATCTAGGGATGTTTTTTTATTAAAACGTTTTAAAACGCTTAATCTACTAGATCAAGGTTTATCATTAACTTTTAATCAAGTAAGGAAAGTTTACTTGTATTTCTTATAAATCACTTTTGATTAATAGATTAATAGATGATTAATAGAGTGCTCCTTACGATGGTTGTTTTGTTGGCTTTGAACAATGTAGATAAACTTCCCAGGAGGCAGTAGAACGCGAGGAGGAACGAGCCACTTGAAACGATGCACAACCTTCTGATGGAAGTAGCTGCATTGAAAGAGGTCATTGAACAAAACATTTTAGTATGTATAGCGGAGAACGAAAACGTAGAAGGGTTGAGAGAAATAACTGAAAAAGTCAGAAAGTTTAAGCAAGATTTCTCATAAACGTCGGTTGTCAATAGTAGACAAAGAAAGAACGTGGTTTATGAGATAGGGTTCTAAATTGCCACCGGCTGTTCGCCGCGATTGAGAATTTTAGAATGATTTTGATTAGAATTTCGCCAGCGGGCGACTAGCTTGTAGTCTTTTCAATGGTTTTCGTGTCAGTCATCCCCTTATCAAACAAAACGTCCGTAACATTCTCATTATACTCTTTAACACTCAGCTGGACATAATTTAGAAGTAGGGATATCTTGGAGGCAAAGAAACTTTCCCTTTTTGCATTTTAAAATTTTCTGTTGACTAAAATGTCCACATGACGATTGGAAAAAACATTTTTAATGCAGCTATGGCACTCGCGATTTCGTGCCTTGTTTTACAGTATTGGAACAAAAAGTGCAAGGCAGACTGAAACGTCTTCTATGGCTAAAGTTATTTATATACGAAGCAACAACATCTTTCAATTCATGTCAGTGATGTATATACCTGGAGTGACGCAGGTTTGTTCAAAGCTTGATGAGCTTTAATGTTTTCTTGACTATGTAGCCTTTCGACGTAGCCTAATTATAACTGATAGTGGTAGAACTTTCTGGTCTTGAACAATAAACAGTTATTCTTTTGATACTTAACAATAAATCCGTCTTTGAAAAATTGTTTGTTTGTCGTACTCTCTCCGAAGCGAAAAATGGAAACTCTCAAATTCAAAAGTTCCAGTGTTGATGACGTTCGTTTATCTAGCCAGAGACATTCAGATCTACGATAATTGAAAATTGTAAACCTCCACGGTCTCATAAGGCATGTCACACTTGACACTTGTGTCAAGCTTTTTCCGTGTTCAATGGTACAATTAAGAAGCTTAGAAATCCAACAGGCAGTTTTAGTAACAAATATCATCATTTTAAGTACTTTTTACTCGAATCCCAGCTTCCAACGTGAGCTTTCCAAACTTCAGTCACTTTAACCGTCAACAGACCCTTTCAGGACTACTCTCAACCGAACGATAACATTACACGACTGAAGAAAGAGTTTGAAAATAAAAGCGAATGTCTGCGTAAACTTTTATATTCAGTTCACTCAAAGACGCGTAAGCATGCCTGTTCATCATAATATAGACGTTTATTAGTAGTCTGGCGTATCGCTTCTGACTTAATGAAGAAATCTTATATCATTCCCCTCCAACTTGTCTATAAAAAAGTTGGAGGGGACAAGCAGAATTATTTGGTCGACATATTTAAAATGCATCCTGCCTATCAAGTCAGTAGAAGCCTATGCAAATGTTTTCAAGCCCATTCAATCTAGGGTTTTGCCAATTTATTCAACTAACTATCATATCCGTCACATGACTTTGTCTTTCCGCAGTTTTTCTTTATTTGTAGTAGCATTGTTTTCTTCGACTTCTTTGAGCTCTTCACTTGGTTTTCTACCAACGAAACAGACTGGATTGTCCTACCGTTCGGCTCGACGTAACTCTGACAAGAAAAAAAACCAATCACAAACGTTTGCGCTACTATCAAACTACAAATGAACCTCGGTGACATACTATGCCAGCAACAGGTAACCACTTGATAGGAAAACAGAATCTGAGGCAGTTACCTTCCCTTCACCACGTTATCACCCATCAACCTTGTTTAGAACAAAATCATTTGTGGGAATTGTTCGACCGAGCAAAGATAGTTCACTAAGAAAATCAGCCCCTCCTCCCTTGGTAAACAACAGAGTAAATCTAAGAACTTACTCGAGTCAGGTGCCTGTCTTACCCTGTCAGCTTGCTTTGAGTTAAGCACCGTAATTCTTACCTTTCCTTGATGTTCCCTTCCCTCTTGCAGCCTTTTTCTTCTTAAGTAAGAGCTCTTCTTTAGTTTTCCCGCGTTCCTCTTTGGTTTCTCCTAGTTTGCAGCCACCTACTGCCTTTTCTACAAAATAGCAAGAGTGGTCACACAGTTTGCAAGTTGACTCGCTGAGAAAATCAGCCCCCCCTCCCCCTCTCTGGGTAAACAATAAAATAAATCTACAAAATAGCTAGAGTAGTCACACAATTTACAGTTTTCTGAATGAAATAAGTTCATGAAATGCTTATTTTTTAATTAATTATATTTCAAAGGTGGGCAGCTCAGCAGTTATGTCGTTTTCTCAATAAAAGTACATAATGGCAGGTCTTAATATGAGATGTATGTGCTCCCTCATCTGCAGTATTTAGTCCTATTTTTGGCGTGTTGGTAAAATGGTGAACATTAACGCCGTCATAAAAAATCATCAATTTAAGTCACACAAAACCCCTCTAGAATCGCTGATATTTAGTCGTTAGAACAATTTAGTGAGCATCGACATGACAGTAGCCTGCAGAGCAGGCGTAATTTCGGCGGGCGAGCGTACATAATTATCTTGGTGAAAATTATAGCTGCCATCTTTGATTTTTACAACAACGGAAGGTTGGGTAGAGAAAGAAATTTGTACCAGGAGGGTGAGTGAAAGTATAAAAGAAGGGGAGATGAGGGGTGGGGCTATGAATACGAACTGTTGCACAAAAATCCTCGAGAACTGTTATTCATTGCCTCCGGCTAATAATTTCACGTCGTTTATGGAAGCAAGACTTTTAGCCAGGTTTTCCTTTCTTTGGGTTTTTTTTAGCATTCTCCCTCAAACTCTGAATGAAAACGTCGCTTCTAGAAATCTGTTTGACTGCTACACCTCAGTGTCTTGTGCGGCATCGTTCCAAAATTACAATTACGTGTAATCATACAGCTTTCTTTTAATGCTAACGGATTTTCGTGCTGGTCAAAATTATGTTTGCAAGGTGCGGGTGAACCTCTTGGAGTTTTTCCTTGAAGATATCATAAGCTTTTATACCCTTTGTCGGTAAAAATCTCCGGGAACTGCTCATTTTTTTCAACTGTATTTGATTCACTTTTATTCTCTCTACGCCAGTTTTGTTGAAGACGTCCTCAGCTGCCATTTGTAGCAAAACTGCATCTGCATCCATATCTCTTACAAATTCCCGTTTTACTCTTTTCAAAATCTTTCTACGCTCGTCGCCCGGTGGTTTGTCAAGAGTTGGATCACTTGCCCTACCAGTTGCCGCGGTTGCCGTTTACGTTTCAACTAAACAATTCAATTTGAAATGACCATGAAATGTGTGATCAGCAGTGTACGATAGGTAGTCGCTTGTATTTTTATGATTACACAACTGTTTGAAACGAATGGAAACAAGTAACATTTGTATTACACTGGACAGCAATCACTGTCTATAAAATAAGGGAGGTTGCCACGCATTATTTATTCACGGGATCACCAGAAAATATCTTCACATTGGATTTTGGTTCATCGGGGAGAGTGAAACAAAAGCAAGGAAAAGGAGAAACAAGAAAACAAAAATATGCAATTGCAAAGGAACACTAGAGAGCTCAGTGCTTGCCATGAAATGCATGCTATTCACTGACTTTTATCATCAGAAACAGCCTTTTTATTTGTAAACAAACAAATAAAGTGCGGCAAAGAAACAGATTATGGCCAAACTTCTTGCAGAAGGTGGCACTTCTTCCTACTAAGGAATCATTTTTGATCGAAGAGAAATTCTAAGGATATTTTTGAAAAAACCTTCTTCCAACCGTTTATCAGAAATACAAGTACTAGATTAGATTTAGCCTTTTAAAACGTTTTAATAAAAAACATCCCTTCAGTGATCAAAAGCGAATAAAGATGCAAAAGGCTGGAAAACACAAAAGATATCACCTATTAATCCCAGGACAGCCATGAAAAACGGAATTTAGGCGAATCACACGGTATCGTTAGCACTAGTTGTGCACATGAGAATCGACACATTTCAGTGTTATTTATCTTCACAAGACAAAAACAGCTTAAATGTTAGTCAAGGTTTCTTTAGGTTACCCATAGAGTGACGGGGTCTTGAGTGCTCTCAGTTTTCAACTCAGCCGTTAATGAAAGCCATGTTATAACATTTTGCTTTGCTTATGTTCAAAATTTAATAAAGAGAAGACTTTAGTGGCATTTGCGTATTGAATTTACAAGTGACAAATTAATGTGCGCTCTGAAGCTCTGGTGGATAGAGATCAATTTGCTATCTTGATACAATGATTTAAGATGTAAAGACACGACAGAATTAGTTACTCACTGGGATTTTCAGCTAGGCTGAGGTTAAGATTTCAACCAATTACAAACTGGCACGAACACATGCCTAACCCGGTTTGTGAATCCAAAAAGGAAAAACTGCAGTAGAATTTCAGGATTTAAAACGATCACGACAAAAACTTCTACAAGCCTTATATTGAGCATCTGAAAGGATAGTCACCAAAGACATGGTGCTGAACGATGTATTAAAACATGAGATGAAGCGCAAACCATGAGTCAGAAAAGGTTATCCCAATACTTCCCAGTGTTCTAGAACACTATACAAGAGGATTTGAAAATTGGCCATTTGGGGATACCTTACAACGTGAAACTTCCGATGAGTTCAGCCAATATGATATGGAAAGCGCGAGACACATAAGATGGGTCCATGCATCATTATTCATACATTCACTAATTATTCACAGAGCGCTACGTTATTAAGGAAAATCTCTGTAAGTGTTGATCGTACCTTCCTCCGCGCTGCTACTCGTTTCTTTTCGTACCATTTCTATTTCAGAAAAGAAGAAATTCAATGATGAGAAAATTTAGATCATATGAATAATACAAATGACCTTCCTCCGTACTTCTATACGTTTCATGATGTTTGCTTTCTCCTCGTTTTTCTTCTCGTACAATTTCTATCCCAGAAACGAGGAAATTCAATGATCAGAAAAATTTAGATCGTATAAATGAATGATACAAATGTAGATTTCAGGTTGTAAAAGCAACTTAAAACACCGTGACCACGTTTAACTGCACCATAGAAAATTTCAAGAATTCATCGGGAAAATTCTGTGGACTTAAAGCCAAATGAATGATTTCCATAAAACGTACAGATTTAAGTACCTAGCAACTTTTCTGCGATCCTTTTCTTTCCCATCGCAATAAGGAGAGACTCAAGACGTCCCACAGTTGCCTTGCTACCTTCCTTATCCCTCCATGACTGGAGAACAGCACCTCCCTTTTCGCGAACTCTATCGTAATCAATCTCTATGTTGCGAAGTATGCTCTCAGGAACTCCAAGAAATGTTCCGAGGTCTTTCCAGCAGTTTCCTATCTCATCTTTAAAAAGGGTTGCTAACCTTTGAGTAACAACTGACTTTCTCAACTCTCCGATTTGAGCTTATAATAATGATAATAAAAAAGAAAAACAGAATCAGCTTATAACTACAAAAGGAAAAACATTTTTAAAAAATACCCGAGGAAAGATTCAAGTGTAATTAGAATCAACTTTGACATCAGGACTTCAGAGAAAAGAGCAATGGTTTGCTATTTTAAAGTAAATTAATATTCTTATGTCCCGCAACAACCGAGCCCGGTTGGCTCGAGCACTTTGTAGTTCAGAATGCAAAATGAGCAATCAAACCATCTAAGGAGAAAATCATAAGCATGATGATAATGAAGAAAATTATTCAGACAGACTATCGTGATGACTTAAAGAAATTAGAACCCTTTTTAAGGTGAGGGGCAGAGAAAGAGGAAAATTTAATGAGGGGTAAGACTAAAGGACACTTTATACAATTAAATAAATGGGCATAGATAGTTAGACTGCACCGGATGAAGTCGGTCGTTATTTGAAGGTCTCTTGGCGGCAAGGGCTTCAATCAGTTACTCGCACTCTCCATTATACATGTGGAAAACGAGGTTTCTAACGAGCGTTTTGCAACTCGCAAAGTTGTCAAAAACAAAGAGAAGGAGCAGCCAACACAGCTGCCTAACCGCGCGAAGTGTGATTTTATCCGAAAAGGTCTACCCAGAATTACTACATGAAAATTCTATAGGGGTATGACAAACTCTCTTCCAGCATTCTTCCTTTCACGTTCCTTACTACTATATTAACATTCATACAGCTCTCACCCGAGTCATCCACAGGCGACTCCACAGAAGTTGAAGGTTCACAAACCGGGGGTTCCTCATTCAACTGAGGTATTTCCCTGAAAATTACTGGAGAGCGGCCCTGTTACGGGGAAAAGAAATCCACTAAAACATTATATGGTATTTTTAGAAATGAATGTCAATAAAAACGAAGCAACATGTTTGACTTATTGCAAAACTCTATCAACAGGGTTATAAGTTCGAAAAAAAAACCCTGAAATAGCTCACAATGTTAAAGCTACAAGGGGACTTTCGCCGTAGTAAATGACCCCTTTACACGGAAAACTGAATGTATCTAGTGTGACCGACATTTCCTTGGGTAAATATCCTGTGACGGTAAATTTGCATGGATACGTCAACAACTTGAGATCAAACGAAGCGCCCATCCAACAAGGGTTGCATTTTCCATCACCAAGATTCTAACATCAGAGCTTTAAAAATCTTTCTTGACCTCCAAGCGATTTTTGTTTTCCCATTAAGTGACAATTTTCATTCGATGAGAAAATACGCCTTACTGGTAAAACATGCTTTACTTTTATAGGATGAAGGTGGTAAGTTTCTAAAGAAACTGAGGTACTGCGTCGGTGGGAGAGTATAACAGGGTAATTCAGTATTATCAACTGAGTTGATAACGTAAATTGGCCACCGTAAAGAGTTTCAAAGCTGCCGTTTCGAGCGTTAGCCCTTCGTCAATCGCTCTGACGAAGGGCCAACGCAGACGACACGAGGATAATTTATGCCGACAAAGAGTCCGCGAAAATTGAAGAAACCACAACAATGACCCCGCTCGTGTAGACATATGGCTCGAGGGAAATGGTATGTGAAGCAAAACAGCAAAGTACCCTGAAGCAATCTTCATGGGAAAGACGCAAACCACCCCTCAGTTTTATTGTGAAAACGCAGAAATCCCCATTACCGAAGATTTTGAGGAGCTCGGAGTTATGATAGACGACAAACTAAAATTTGAAAAATATGTAGGCAAAGTTTGCAGAAAAGTCCCTGAGCAATTTGCTTTCCTCAAGTTTAAGAAAAAGATGCTCCATTTCGAAACAAGAAAGAAAATCTATTTTGCATTCATCCTTTCCCATTTCAATTCTTCCTTTGAGACCTAGCCCTTCTGCAGTAAAAGTGCTAGTGCAAAACTTGAAAAAGTAAACGAACGTGCACTGCGATTTTTTAAAATGAAAAACAAACGCACTACCAGGAACTACTTAATAAGATAGGCTTACTGTTATTGACTAATCAAAGACTCGCAAAAATAGTTTGTACGGTTTTTAAAGCTGTTAACAACGATCATGCTCCTAAAAGCATAAAAAACTTAATAGATTTTAGAAACACTAAAGAAGATCTGAGGGAACCGACACTCAAAAAAATGCTTAAGGACAACACCATAACCTAGAGACTGTAATCGTGGCGTTAGCTAGCGTCGTAGCTATGGAATCTGCCGCCAGAGTCACACAGAACTGTTGGAACTATTCAGACCTTCAAAAACGGTGTAAAGAACATTGATCTTTTGGGCCTTTTACCCAACTTTTAGTGAATATGATTATCGTTTTATTTCTTGGCGTAACGTGAAATTATTTTAGATTGTATTTTATCATCCTGACTGAAACTTTTAAAAATGTTAAAATGTTTATTCATTTGTTATATAATTTATTTTAAAATTTAATTCTAATTAATGTGAAAACACTTGTAAATTAGCTGGTGTTACATTTCATCATAGCATGTCACATCTGAATAATGACTCAATAAGCAGACGAAATCATTGATCTACTTTCAGAATTCTGTTGTCTGTGGAGTTGCGAGTTCAAGATGATTCCAAGATGCACATCTCATCTAATTAAGATTTCACATTTTTTTGGGGGGAAATTAAACAAATACACAGTGCGAGGGTACCGCTGATTTCAGGGAGCCTTTCGTATCATTATTCTTGTCCTTTTAGTGGTTACTACCGCAGGGGTTTCAATAACAGCCAATTACAGGCGCCAGCATTTACAGCTCAAAAGTCATATCCTGTACGTTTCTCTTATAACAAAGATTAAAAACAAACATTGTTGGCTATTTTTCCCTTTCACTTTTCGGAATCATGTTTCTGAACGTTTTTTTTTCTTCATGATAAAATTTTATGGATATTCAGACTTGTTTAAAACACATTTGGATGACTAGTCAAGATATTTATGTTCTTTATTACTTTTGCATTTTTCTTTAATTCTTTTAATGATTTACTTTCCTATTTTATGAGTAGTGTTGTAAGCATTTTGTTTAATCACGTCAGGATGATTAACCCTTTAACTCCCAGAAGTGACTAACACGTAACTTCTCCTTGTGATATTTACACGTTTTCTAGCAAACGGTTAATGAGAATACTAAAACTTATCAAGAAGAAATTTTAATCTTGATCTTACACCAAATTCTCACAAATAATTTCCAAGGAATTGTGTAGCAGCAAGAGGAGAGAATTATTGGATCGTGGGAGTTAAAGGATTGATGTGTATGATGTAATACTGATCTGTAAAGCAATTTGAAGAGTGCAAGTATTTTATTGTAAAGAATGAAGTTTTTTAAACTTAAAAGTGTATAGAATTACGTGTGATATAACAGCACAAACAATAGAATTTTAAAACAGAAAAGATGTCAAGAAGAGAGTGTTTCAATTATATCTATTGCCTTTACGACAATGACGAGGTCCACACTTGCAAAGACTTAACAAAAAACGCGGGAAATCTGTTACGCTGATTTTTAATCCTGGACCCTCCCCAGAATCCTCTTTTCGAAGTTTGTTGTTCTTAAGACGACAAATAACGGCATAGTGGGAAAAAACTGGTTATTTTAGCCCGAACAAAAGATAATTCACTTTGCCATTCGGAACTTTCATCTTGTAGATCTGAAAAGTTTTCAAAAAATATCATATTGTTTATGAACAAGAAACTAAATAGGAAACTGCTACCTCAGTCTGGTTTAGATGAGTGAGTATTGTGCAGTCCTCAGTGAAACCTTCCTCTGATACCAAGAATCTGTAAGAAAAGATGTTGACCATTTACTACGGTGTTTGCTCCTTCTGCTTAAAAGTTCTTCTTGAGGTCGTGCGGAACAAGGCAAAGTGAAAGTTACTCGTTAGGGTGAATTCCTGACTCACGCCATGTCAATTTTGAGATAACTCCGGTCTGGTTCTTATCATAGACGGTAATAGACGTTAATCAAATGGCTTTCTGAAGTCGAAATAAAATGGATTTACGACCAAAGTAAGGAAAAGCTATTTCATACAAACAATGACACCAAAATCCTTTGGTTGTGCCTTCCTATTTGTGACTAATTCAGGCGAGTGAAGGGTAATGCTTACACGCATATTAGTAAAATCATAACTCACATCTACCCCTTGATTTTTTTACCTGATGTCAGAGCTTAAACTCCTTCTTTAGCGAGCCATACGTTCGTACGCACATTAATTGACTTGTCTGGTGACTGACTCATGAAACTATGTTATCTCTCTTCGAATACAACATCAAAAACAGCCATAATAAGTTATACGAGTTATACTAGATATACGATTTCCAAAAAGATCAAACTTACTCATGAATGATGCTGTTCTTAATTTCTTGTGGAATGGATGTAGTTTCTGAAAAGGTTTCGAAGAAACATACGCAAACTAAGTTTATTTAAGAAAGGCAAAACTTTCTTTTGGTGTACAGACCTAACACATCGATAAATTCGAAGCTTCAACATCTCTCTCCCTTCCCCGCCGACAATAAACCGGGCATTTTAACTCTTGAATATTGGCTCGTTCAAATATCCTTCCCATCGGATCAAGATTGTGTTTAAATGCCCCATCCAACATTGAACGATTCTTTGCATGATCAACGAATGTTGTAAAATTTAAGGATCAATTAGCAAAGTCACGTATTAGTTTTTGGTGTTGCTTTTGGGTTTTTCGCTTCTAATCATCATTCCAGGATGTCACATTTGTTTTTCAAAGGCATTTATTCATATCTTCTCTTCAATAATAGATATCAACATTTGAAAATGACATTTAAAAATAACATATTCCGTTCGAAAGACGAAGCGACTAGCGTACGAAATTTTAGCTTTTACGCGCCCTGCTCAGTAGACTTACAATAATTGAATTTTTTTATAAGAATTTACGACCAGAACCTTGCGTAGCTCTGTGTTGAAAATTATGAAAATTGAACGATTTTAAAACAAATCTACTCAGGGCGGCGAGGAACCTGTTGAAAGGAACTTGGAGCAGTTCTTCAAATACCAGAAAGCAAACTTCGCAATACCAAAACAGATTATCAGTACTGTAGAGATGAGGATCTGCAGTACTTGAAAAATGGAGGGATATGAAAGAGCCTGATGCAACTGTAGGATTTCTTTTGGAAATGCTGTCCGAAGGTAAAGCCAACTGTAATGGGAGTTTACGAAGTGGAGCACATTGTTGCAAAAGGTAAAGTGGAATACATCATCCAATGGCAGAATTACTCCCCTAGTGAAAATACATGGGAACCAGCCGAACATTTGCCGGAAGATCTCATCGCCGCCTTCGAGAACAGGTGTGTCGATCCACCTCGCGCCGATAAATGTAGAGAGTGACTATGTATTCTATTCGAGAAGGGTTTAAAAGTGCCCCTGTTTCGGAACGAAACCAACACCGTGCGTCACGATGCACTGCGAGCGATCTTCCCTGGGTTGCCGTTAGATCTCTAGGGAAAGCATACCTCTCCAGTAAAGACGAGCTGATAGCAGCAAGCCTTGGTTCTTCTTTGAAAATATGTTTAACAGTAACAGGAGGTGGTCTTATTTTCTTATGTTTTTATTTAGAAAAGCAAAACAAGATAAATGGGGACCATAATGGAGCAATTACGATAATTTTATTGAGACTGATTTGCTGTTTCTTGAAAATAACATTATTGTAGGGACGGCCTTACGTGTCTTTATCCTGTCTTTGCGGCCCTACAAAAAAGAAAAGAAAAGAAAATTATGATTTCGCAAGTGCTACAGGTTAAGCTTAAATTCTGGGCCACTTTGCGCTGATCTGGAAAATTAACACACAAGACCACCTCAATCATTACGCTTGAGTGTCATGTTGCATCAATTGATTGGTAACATTCATTCAGAGTCAGTACAGTATTCGACTTCTCGTAGCGCCCGATGTTTTTTTTTTTCAGTTATACGTCTTTTGAAAAATGGCTAAGCGTAAAATGGATACTTTCTGGACTGCAGCAGGTCTTGTGCTCTTCAGTCGTGGCGGCGAGAAATACGCCAAAAATTGGACACTTTCAAGAATGGCCTGGGCAGAAGGCCCGTGGGTCTTGCGGTCGTTCAACAGTCCGCGCGCGCTTCTATTTTTACGTCAGAAGAAGAAAATGGCGGTGGTTGTGAGCGGCACAAAGTTTAGAGAGGTTAGTAAAATTTTCTTCTGTATTTGGAAAATTATTGACAAATTTGCCATCATAAATTTTTTTTTAACCATACATTCGTGTCCGCACTTGAGACATTTATTTGGGGTGTAAGAATTAACAACTGGTTCATACGTCAGCGTGCGTTCATCGAGATATGAAGCACGCGGGAAGTTTGGAGAGCACGAAAGATGCGAGGCGTAGCCGAGAGCAACTCTAGCTTCTTGAGTGCTCTCCAAACTTCCCGCGTGCTTCATATCTCGATGAACGCACAGCTGACGTATGAACCAATTGTTTTATAACATTTTCAACCCGATGGAAATTTTTTTTTCTCGTGGGATTTGTTTGCTGACGTCATGAGCATGCACAATAGGAAAATGAAGTACGCTTACGCAATTGAATATGATTATACAAATTTATTAGCTATGTTATAAATTGCTTTGAATAAGCCAGAAGGGGTTGGAAAAACAAAATGTCCAAATTCTGTAATGTCATCATCTTACAAATTCTCTGTGTGTAGGATGTCTAGCAGCTCTCTAGAATTGTGAAATGACAAGCAAGCAAGATTATTAGTGAGTTTTTATAGAGTACATGAAACAATGTGATGAAGCCTCATCATACTTACCGTCCAGAGTTGTTTTGTATGCTCCACTCTGGTTGGTGGAAGGATCTGCGCAAAACTGCCTAGAAGTTTGTGTAGAAAGAGTCTCTTTTCACCAACCAAAAGAAAAGTCCATTCTCAGTTGACTTTATTTTTGTATAGGTTCAGCGTCACCCCAAGTGTTCGAACTGTTTTGAGGAACTCTGTCGAATGCAACTCTGACTCCTACCTTCAATTCTATGTCTTGTCGTCATCCTACACAAGACGCAATGTTTAAAATTTTGTCTTATTTACTTCACATTCACTTGTTTTCTGATTATTTGTTTGCCTGATTGTCTGTTTTGGAGGTCAATAAGCATAAAGATTTGACTCTGACAGGAAAACTGAAATAATTGCCTCATCTCACTTTAGAATATCCATAATTATGCCCTCCTCAAGCCGGTCTGTTATCTTCAGCATCAGATGGAGTCTATCACGACATGATCCAAAAGCATATTGGCATCCAGGTTGTGTTGGCCAATCTTTGTTTAATCCTCTTTTTAGCTCAGGTGGCTGAAAATAGCCACAAAGGTGGTTCATATTGCACCTGAAAATCATTAAAAGTTGTGTTAGATCTTGTCTAGCATTTTAAATACTATTCTCTTCCATCCATCTGATTTCTCGAGAACGGTTATCATTTTCTCAAGTGATCCATTACATTAAAGGAGCCAAATATCTTTACTTTGCTTTAAGCCTGCTTGAATTGGTTTTTGACTTTCTAGTCATTTAATTGTGTAACTTTTATAGCCTTACATCCTACTTTTTTAAAATATGATTATTTTGCAATAGAGCAAAGATTGATTAATTTCATATACATCATTCATACCCAAAGACGTGTGTATAAAAATATTTAATTACCTAAGTATAAAATGCATACCGGAAGAATACTAAGAAAATAAATACAAGAACAGGGTTAAATAATACGTAAAATTAGCTTACCTTATTTCCTTAGATGACGCTGTTTTTGATGTCGCCTGACTTCTTCTGTCGCCCTTCTTTTATGACAGTTCTGTTTCTGAACAGTAGTGAGCTTGATCATAGCGTCATAGAACTGTGATGCTTCATTTTAAAAAAAAAAAAAATTGTCGTTTGATCTGGTTCACTTCGATAAAAGTGTAGGCCTATTGTGTGTACTTCGGGTTGATGACAAACGTATCACATTGCTTCAATAGTGGATGGAATAAATGTGTTGTTACCTTAAATCTCGGCCCATAGTCTTTGGTTTTCAGTAATCAGTTCTTGTTCCCTTTTCGATAGCCCCTCGATCACCCCATCTAGATCTGGTTCTGGGTGGATCTCGTCCGGATTTAGTGAGAGGCAAGCCCAGAACTTTGATCTCACGGCCCGGTGAATGTTGCCATTCGAGGCTTGGTTCACCTTCTTAACAGGATAATCCACTCTTCCGGCTGTGAACAGCTTTCCCGACAGGAGATGGCAACACGAGGACAACGTACCCGATTCTCCTCAATTTGTACTGAAGAGCATCAAACACTTCGGCAGGGTTGACCGGGGATTCTGTGAGCTCTGAAAAGAGCTCCCGATCAACACGTTGCTTTCTTTAACGGTACGCATGGCAGAATTCTAAATTTTTGAGAAGATCTTGTTGTTTCTGTTGCCGCAGCAAACCGCGAAGAGTGTTGGCAATGGTTACGTTTCCGAATTCGCCCAATCCCAAAGCTTGCGAAGTCGGTATTGTTAGTGCAGTATCTCAATTTCAATGCTGAATTACATTGGCGTGCGTGCTACTGTTAGCAGAGGCTGAGTTTTGCCTAGGTACACTCGCGGGAGTTTTAAAAATCGGTGAACCGTGCTTCTCGACGAAAAATTCAGGATGGCCAGAAGTTGCTTCGGAAAAATTCAGTGTCGATAGTACTTCTAGCCTTCCTACTGAAGCGAAATTTTCATAAGCTCTCATGAGAGAGTAACTTTTTCATATGCTGACTGTGAAGTTTCGCGAATAGTTCGTCGTATTATTATTAAACCGAAGATCAGCTTCCATACGGAGGGGCATCTAGAATAACCGTTTTTCAAAGCATATTCGATAATGGTTATAGAAACCGCAGAAACCAAACTTTAGTATAAATTTGTTCATCGAGCCTTCTTCTACAAATTCCTATGCTGGCAAATATCTATGGCAACTAGTTTGTGAGTAAAACAGAAAAAAGAAGGCGCAATTAGGCGATTTACAGTCATTTTCCTTATTGTTTCCCACTCTCTTCTCAGAGGACCGTTCAACCGGTTGACTTGAAAAATACCCGGATGTCTCGCGGCACTCTGATGAGTCGCGGGGAGGGGGGGAGGGAAGGGGGAGCGGGCTCTTCTTCTTGCATTGACATGCATCGTTGTAAAGTAACGACTTCCTTTCTAAATTGGTTTTCATCAGCCCCCCCTCCCCCTCTTTGGGTGAAAATAAAGTAAATCTAAGAACTTACTTGAGTCAGGTGACTGTCTTGCCCTTTCAGCTTGCTCTTCACTTCCCAGTTCCTTTTTTTCTGAAATGAAAGAAAAGAACGCAATGAAGTGCGAAACTTAGAAAAAATTACAATTGCGTGTAATCGTACAGCTTTTTTTAATGCTAATTGATTTTCATGGTCGTCAAAACAATTACCAAGTTCCAAAATTATGTTTGCAAGGTGCGGGTGAACCTCTTGGAGTGTTTCCTTGAAGATTTAATAGGCTTTTTCACCCTTGGATGGTAAAATGTCCAGCAACTGCTCATTTTTTTCCGATCGTGTTAGCTTCACTTTTATTCTCTCTTCTTCAGTTGTGTTAAAGACGTTCTCAGCTGTCATTTGTAGTAAAACTTCTTCTGCATCCATATCTCTCACAAGGTGCCGTTTTACTCTTCTCAAAATCCTTCTACGCTCGTCGCTCAGAGTTGTATCACCCATTTCCTTTTCAACTAAACAATTCAATGAGAAATAACCATGATATGTGTGACCAGAAATGTACGATAAATAGTCGCTTGTATTTTTAGAGAATTTGGTTCTCACTATGATTACACAACTGTTTGAAAAGAAGGATGACCACATGAAAATAGTAACATTTGTGTTAGACTGGAAAGCAATCACTGTCTATGAAATAAGGGAGGTTACATACATATATACATAATTTATTTGAATAAAGTCATGATAAGGGCAGCTTTCGCTGATGTGGACCTCCTAACTTCATGCTAAAATATTTAAAAAAAGAGAACCTGATAACATAATCTTAAAAGTTTTTATAAAGTATAAAATATAGATCATTCAATAAATTATTATTGATAAATAATCAAATATAAATATAAATCTAATAAATAAGTAATTAATTTTAAAAATAATCACTTTCAATAGTATAGAAAATCTTCAGTTCTCCTATTTAAATTATTGCATTGTACCTTTATGTAACTTATAGTTTCCATCAATCTTTATTTCTTTTTTAGAGCTAATTTGAAAGAATTAATATTTTATGCATTTCTTATGTCTCTGTCCAGATTATTCCAGGTAACTGGACCTCTGAAGAACAAAGATTGTTTACCAAACTCTGAAGTTGTTGTATTCATTTCAATTAGTTTGCCTATTCTAACAGAGTTTACTTGTTTGAACATATGAGATAATCTGTGACATCCATCAGAGTTTATAATTTGAAGCATTTCTAAGGCAAGTCTCTTTTTATAGATATTGCTGATGTTCTGCCAATGTACCTTCTTTGGTACATCATGATCTTCTAAGGAAGAAAGGAGTCTGTGGATTAATCTTGCTGCTTTTACATGCAGTGCTTCAATGGGTTCAAAAGCAGAGGTTGAACAGTTTCCCCATACAGATACACAGTAATTTATGTGTGGTATAATCCACTTAAAATAGATACTTTCCAATTCCTTAGTTGACAAATAGGATATTCTTTTAAGAGACTTTAGTTGTGCATTGAATGATTTAGTTAGCTCTTTGATATGTGGTTTCCAAGTCACTTTGTTGTCAATATATATTCCAAGTACTTTTACTTTATCCGTATACTTTAGATATTTGTTTCGCCATTTGACAGGTTTCAATGGGCCAGTGAAGCTCTTTCTTGAGATTATTATGACTTTTCATTTGGTTGGATGAATTGTGAGGTTGTTTATACTACAACATTTGCTAATTTTTGAGAATACAATATTAAGTAAAGTTACTACCTCATTATCATTCTTTCCAATAACGAATGCTGTGGTGTCATCAGCATAGAGGTGGATTTCACCATTTGGTATACAGTCAGGCAAGTCATTTACTAAGATCGAAAATAGCTTTGGTCCCAAGAGGGATCCCTGTGGGACACCATAGGGCACTATGGCACTGAAGGCCAGATCTTTTCCCATTTATTAAAACAAATTGCTTTCGATCAACGATGAACGTTGTCATGCATTATTTATTTAAAAGATCACCAGAAAATATCTTCACATTGCGTTTTGGTTCATCGGGGAGAGTTAAACAACGGGGAGAAAAAGGACAGCCTAGAAAACAAAAACATGCAATTGCAAAGGAACAATAATGAGCTTAGGGCTTGTCATGAAATACATACGATATAACTTTTAGCATTTAGAAACAGCTTTTTATTTTAAATAAACAAATAAAGAGCAGCAAAGAAACGGATTATGACCAAAATTATTACAGAAGGCGACACTCTTTCCTACCAATGAATCATTTGATCAAAATGAGGTCATTTACAAACAAAATTTCCTTTTTAATTTCATAAAATACATATATTCTAAATTTTATTACAGCACAAGCTGAAAATTTTTCGTTAAGAAGAGACTCTAGTCTCTTAACGTCACAGCCTGTTCATCAATGCTGAAAACAAGTCACGGTTTTATTGAGAAAAATGAAGACAAACAAAAAAAACCCTGTACAGCAATTTTAAAACTTTTAAATGATGCTCAAAGAACGTATGGAAACATGCATGACCTAGACTTGACCAAGCTCGACTGTAAAAGGGTTGTTACTATAAATCATTGCCAAATTATCCGAGCATCGGATAATCACTATCATCACATCATCATTTATCCCCACAAAACAAAACTAAAAGTACTGATAACGAGAGGCAGAATTAGTTGAAATCCAAGCTAAATCTACTGTAAACAATACCAAATCTAAGCTGTCATTCACAACAAATACAATTTTCAATTCGGTCTGACAAATACCACACCATGAAAACCCAAGAAGATCGATTGTTGGTTGACGAAGAGTGAGGTATTACAAAAATGGACACTAGTCCTTGGTGAGTGACTGTTTGTTCTCTATCATATAAAAGCTGTATTTGTTCACGTCTCTTAACTTTGAGCCATTAGAAATGCGGAAGCGAAGGCTCCTTGTCAGTCTCGTCACTCTGTCATACGTGCGAACGAAGACTAGTTCCGCCATCGCTGAGCACCAAAATCGATAGATTTGTTAAAACGCGACTAAAGAATAAAACTAAAAGAGTAAAAAGAAGCTGAAAGTGTTACTCGACTAGGTCGACGGTACATGTAAGACGTAAAGGTCCGTGGGTTGATATTGCAGCAGTCAGTAACAGGCCACTCTGTCTTAACTATTAGCACTCGAGGGGATTCATCTTTCAACCAAACACATTTTCGAAAGATAGTGTAACGTAGCTAATATCTTTGCAAAATACCAGAACAAAAACCAGCATTATGATGCTACGCGTAATATTTTGAATGTCTGAGTTACGATTTATTAAGAAACTTACATTTGAAGCTGATCCGTGATAAACAACTGAGCTGGTCTAAATTGTAGGTTTCAGCTGATTCTTCTTTAAGTTAGATATTCTTTGCCTTCCTCATTCTCCCAACTTTCCTCTAAAACGTTCTTTTAAACAGAGAAACGAACTGATCTCGCCAATGTAAACAATCCGTCTGAAATGTAACACTAAAACACACTCTGCATTTTCCACGAGACCTTGAATAACCTCTAATCAGCAACGCAGCCAATGAAGATGATAGCAAATCAAATAGCAGATCAGTGCACAAAAAGACTTCTTGTTACGTCACTTTAAATACTCTCCTTAATCATTCGTATATGTCACTCATTCCTTGAGCTGTTCTTGAGGAAAACGATGAAGTACGAGGCGATCTAATGCAATTGTCCATAAAATTCTTGATTCTACTTTGTTAAACCGCGCACTTAACAACAGTTGAATTTGCATCGATGATTGAAACAGTATGCTCCATAAATTGATGGTTCTTGAATTGCTCCTGGAGTTTGGCATGAACTGGAGAAGAACTTTTTAGAGTGACTCCATAAAAATCTGTCTAATCTTTAAAGGACGTGATGGAATGTTAAGGAGGGGGAAGTGGGGGGTGGGATGGGTCAGGAACTGACATATTCTTCTTATTCTTCACTCAACATCTTTTCGACATTTTTTAAAGTTTATCGGGAGTAACTATACCTGTTTAAATCATACATGAAGATGAGAGTGATCATCGTAGGTATGAACACTACAAAGGAGGTCGTTGCATCGGCATGCACTAAAGGCCAAGTCCAGCCATTTCATACTAAACGCGTCTTTCACTTGACCTTTCAAATTCTCGCTCATTTAGGAGAGATTTCTTTGACGCAATGGAGATCTTTGAGGGAAATTGAGCATCTTTTTCGGATTTAGATATTGCATAAATACATTTTATTGATCTAAATGTTAAGTTTGAGCATAAACTACTTAAGCAGCAGTGAAAATTAAGTCTGAAAAAATATTTATGGTTTGTACGAGGGTTAAAGGCTATGCAATATTTTTTCAGGCTTTTTTTTTTTCACTCCCAAGATCTGATTGTTAATTCTCACCTGAAGCTGCTTTTACATTTCCATGTAAATTAGTTACAAGAATTTGTGTTAGATCAAGAAAATAGCACTTCTACCCGACAAGTCTGAGTATCCTTATCACCTTTTCGATTTATGACGTATGGATGTCAATAAAGGGAGAAGTTACATGTGAATCACTTCTGGGAGTTAAAGGGTTAAGTAGTGATCATCACTACTCTTATGCATCTTTATTTATTAATCCGCAGTTCAAAAACGATAGCCATATATTAACACTAGTTTAAACCAAAGCTCATTTGCTTTGCAAATTATTGATAATTCCAATTTTTTGACATACAAACGAGATTTATAGACATTTTTAGGAGAATTTCCGGATAGAGTTTTGGGTAATTTTTCGGAATTTTTGTATCGAAGCTTATAAGCGTGCCGCAGACTCCGCGGGCGTGGAATAAGTAACCCTGCAGGTTGGGAGCTAGTTACGTAATAGCGGAGCTCCAGCGTAGCCCCATAACTATACGAAATAGTAGTAACGTATCAAGCCCAAAAAATTTGGTTGTACGACCCTACGAGGTGCTACTTTTAGCACTGCGGCGCGGCCAACTGTACCACGGGCACTATCTTAGCCATTACGTAACGGAAGTAACGGAAGGGCGAGGGAGAAGGTAATGCGCAGGCGCGATTGCGTGCGTAACTTGAATACCCATTAGTGTGCGCCAAGAGACACTGTCAGATCACGATAAAGTGCGCATACTCGAACGTCGAGCTGCAGCGTAGCGTACTGCAGGCACACGGTTAGGCATTGCACGAGGGCTTCACGTGAGCTAGTAGATGAAATTTGCCACCCGCGTTTTGAGCGGGAAATCAAACTGGTCAGGATCTTGTTGAACAGTAATTCGCGCAATCTAACATCCTGCCAATAACAATGCTCTACTTCAAACGTTCATCAATCTTAATGCTTGATATAACCACTAACTCTGCACCTAAAAATATCTGCAATCTTTTTATTTCTACACAAGACATACATCAGTATAATACCCGATCAGCATCTCCTGGTAACTACTATATTAACTATTCTAGGCTTAATCATCATAAAAACTCTTTTTCTGTCGTTGGGGCTAAAATTTGGAACAGTATTCCCGAAAGCTATCGAAGTCTGCCGAAGCACATATTCAAAAAGAAAATTCAAGCATTACTATTTGCAACTCTAGGAAGTCTGGATAGTTATGCTGACACTAGCACTCTTATTTCTGAAATAAAAAAGGCATCTTAATTATAATTCAAACATAATATATTAATTTACTTTTTATCACCTTTTCCCTCTTTTGTCAAATAATGTATGCAAAATCGAGTAATTCGCATAATTCGTGTTTTTGTAATTCGTGTTGTATGTCCTTAACACCGCCTGCCTAGATTAGCTCGCTATTTGCAGGAGGTGATTATTGTACAAAGATTTTCCTGCAAACTTAATAAACTTGAATTTGAAAACTTGAACTTGAACTTCAGTATTTTGCAATTTCTAAACAACTCGTGAGACAACAATACCGGCAGAGTTTAAGCTTTGTCAACCGGAGGAAATTGTTATAATTCAAGTTCGTGGAGAGAGGGTTTTAATTGAAGATAGGCTGGATATAAAGAGACAGAGCGACCAAAGAAAGCAACAAGTAAACGGCGTAAAGTGAGTCCAGAAAATCGCGCAAGAAAGTTACAAAGGACGCCAAAATAGGCAGAATACGGCGAGAGGAACGCGAAAGAGAACAATAAAGGGCATAAGTAAAAAGGTGAGTTTCTGGCGAAGAGCAACGCGATAAGGAAATACAAAGTCGCTTCTGAAAACAAACTGAAAAGAGGTCATCAACAAAGAGAAGCGAACTACAAAGGATCCGCGAAAGAAGAGGAGGTAAGTCGTGTCCTATCTGGGTTTTCTCTTACGCTAAGACCCAGAAAAAAATTCGAACTTTTTTTTTACCAATCGTCGTTTGATACTAGCTTCAGTTTTTAATTCAACTGATCACGTTTCGGTTAAACATTGACTCTGGCATTCATCGCCTAAAAACTCTTACGCCGGTTCATCGCTCGAATAATATTGCATAGTGTTCGTATTCTTCAAGTTATTTCTTGTCCTTTCGTTTGAAAATTTAATACAGTCGTGGTGTTATGGGAAAAGAAGTTATCTTACGTATTTTGTTTTGCCTAGAAAGTTTTCAAATGATGTCGAACGGCGAGCGCAAGTTTCTACTTTTTTTCTCTTTAGTTAATTATCGCAGGATTTACTCCAAGCATTTGAAAATTTGCGCTTTGCCGAAGATGTGTTGTTTTAATCTAAGAACGAAGTAATGGCCTTTCCCAAAATTAAAATAAAATTGGATTGAGTCAGCGATGTTCATGTTTACATTAAGTCTAACGCGGTAATTTGATTTTGACGATATTTATTGTCATGTGAGAACCCGTCAAACATCTAAGAATCAAATTACGGACCGCAAATGTGTGGTGCAAACAAACTCACGGGTAAAATGGATATGTTTCTACAGCGGGATTATTGAATTTAATGGTTTGGTTGTCGTACTTTTCA